CACACCCCATCATCCAGCAGCACACAGCACACACACACACACACACACACACACACACACCACACACACCCATCATCCAGTACTCACACACCCATCATCCAGCACTCACACACACACACCCATCATCCAGCACTCACACACACATCATTCAGCACTCACACACCCATCATCCAGCACTCACACACCCATCATCCAGCACACACACACATCATCCAGCACTCACACACCCATCATCCATCACTCACTCAAACACACATCATCCAGCACTCACACACACATCATCCAGCACTCACACACACATCATTCAGCACACACACACACACACATCATTCAGCACACACACACACGTCATCCAGCACTCACACACACGTCATCCAGCACTCACACACACGTCATCCAGCGCGCACACACACGTCATCCAGCGCGCACACACATCATCCAGCACACGCTGCATTCATTATACACACTCTTCACTCACTACAAACACACTACATTCACTATACACCCTCTGCATTCACTATACACACTCTGCATTCATTATACACATTCTGCACTCACTACACACTACATTCACTATACACACTCTGCATTCACTACAAACACACTACACACACACTGCATTCATTGTACACACTCTGCACTCACTACAAACACACTAAATTCATTATACACAATTTGCACTTACTACAAACACACTACATTCACTATACACCCTCTGCATTCACTATACACATTCTGCACTCACTACACACTACATTCACTATACACACTCTGCATTCACTACAAACACACTACATACACTGCATTCATTGTACACACTCTGCACTCACTACAAACACTAAATTCATTAGACACAATTTGCACTTACTACAAACACACTACATTCATTATACACACTCTGCACTCACTACAAACACACTACATTCACTATACACACTCTGCATTCATTATACACACTCTGCACTCACTACAAAACACTACATTCACTATACACACTGCATTCACTATACACACTACATTTATTATACACACTGCACTCACTACAAATACACTACATTTATTATACACACTGCACTCACTACAAATACACTACATTCATTATACACACTGCACTCACTACAAATACACTACATTCATTATACACACTCTGCACTCACTACAAATACACTACAATTATTATTCACACTCACTACAAATACACTACAATTATTATTCACACTGCACTCACTGCAAACACACTACATTTATTATTCATACTCTGCATTCACTACAAACACACTACCTTCATTATACACACCCTGCACTGCACTATATGCATAGGAGTGTAATTTAAAAAAAAATTTTTTTAAGGGGGTGGGGGGGGAGGCGGGAATCTTGGGTGAGTTCCCACACCTTTTTCCCCAGGACTTGACCCCTGTATGTATGTATGTATGTATGTCTGTGTGTCCCCCCCCCCCCAGAAAACATGGTGTATATAGTAACCTAGGTATTGTTTATATATAATTTACTCAATGAGCTAAAATATGTTTCCATGTTTATGAATCATTAAATAGCAGCTTCTGATCACAATGTGTGGTCTATTTGCTCACAATAATACATCTCTGAATCACGAGCAAAGTACATGAGTTTTTGCAATAGCATTCTTAATTTTTGAGTGTTTTGGTCAAAAATGCTCTCCCTAAATAAAAGAACCAATAAACTTTTATAAGTCAGATTTTACAAGGAATGTTGAATTTAGCTTCAGCATTTGATTATGAATCAGATTTAATAAATTGGATTGAGAACTTCGGTCTGGTACAGATGGTTTGGCTAAATTCCATAGCACCATGTAATCTTGTGAATGTAATAAAGGAACGGACCCGGATGAAATTTGATGGTTTCATAAACACATCTTACATCGAGGCCTCATACTAAGAATTAATGAGCTGCTTTGTTTTTATAAAAACTTGTGGACTACAGAATATAAAATAGGTAATGCAAAACATTCCTAATACTTTTTATTACTGAGCTGATTAATTGGATTCTGCAAGGAATGGGTGTTGGAATTCTATCTTGATAAGATGTCTATTCTAAAGATTTTAAAGGGAAAGCATACTTAGAAGACATTACATTTCAGTTCTAAAGTGACATAATTACACAATTGGGGTGAGGGGAAATGTAAATCCCACTCCATGTTGGAGCTCAGACAGGCACCTGAGCAGGGGAAAACTGTGGGATGTAACATAGGTGCTTACTAAAGTACTTGCCCACTATAAATAATATAGCTATCATGATCATTATTTGTAGATCATGCGTGTAAGTTAACTTTATCATGGACACAAACAAATTAAAGCATGCTCACAACGTAACTGTCTCATGTACACGCTGTACTATTTTGTGGTCACAATCTACTAGTATTTTTATTTCATGCAGAAAATATATGATGCTAGGATACTGTTACTTGTAATTCAGATATGCAATGTGGTGTGAAACGCTAGTAGAATATAAGTGAGATCCAAAGCGCAGTCTGGTATGCCATGGTTGAGGTTATACATGATTATGGCATTTTGCACCAAAATATAGTATTTTTATTTTGTATTCCTGTTTCAAATAAATCTACAAAAATATTGCACTTATGCTCAAACCCATGGATTATCTAGTAATGTTACGCAGGGGGGGGAGGAACTTTGGGCTGCTATTTTTCGTTTCAGTGTGAGAATACATTGCAATACTGGCACCGGCCAGTAGGTGGCACTGTGTATGGAGAAAGGCAGGGATAGGAAGCTACATCTTATCCCTGCTTCTCTCTCCTGACTGAAACTGCAGGGGAGCAGCCAGCAACCCCAGCCTGCAGAGACAGCATATTGAGGGATGGGGGGCAGCCTACAGATCAGGTAAGTGAGGCATGGGGGGTAGCCTACAGATCACATAAGTGAAAGATGGGGGGGCAGGCAACAAATTAGGTAAGTGAGGATGGGGGCAGCCTACAGATCCAGGTATTGAGTGAGGGGTGGGGGGCATGCAGATCAGGTAAAGTGAGGATGGGGGCAGCCTACAGATTAGGTGGCAGGATGGAGGGCAACACACAGATCAGGTAAGTGAGGGATGAGGGGGGCAGCCTACAGACCTGGGAGGAGAGGGATGGGGGGCAGCCTACAGATCAGGTAAGTGTATAAATGTATAATTTTATGATGGGGGGGGAGACAGCCCACAGGAAGGTAAAGTAAAAGGAGCAGAAATGATCAGAAAGGTTCTGCAAGGGGAAGGGGCAGCAAGAAGGGTCAGCAAGAAGCAGGAAGGGATAGGAAGGGTCTGCAAGGAGCAGGAGGGTAAAGTAGAAGGAGCAGAACTGAGCAGGAAGGGGAACCAAGGAACAGGAGAGATCAGCAAGGAGCAGGAAGGGTCAGCAAGAAGCAGAAAGGGGCAGCAAGCAGCAGGAAGGGGCAGCAAGGAGTAGGAAGGGTCTGCAAGGGGCAGGAGGGGTCAGCAAGGAGTAGAAAGGGGCAGCAAGAAGCAGGAAGGGGTAAAAAGAGTCTGCAATGAGCAGGAGGGGTCTGCAAGAGGTAGGAAAGGTCTACAAGGAGCAGAAGGGGTCAGCAAGGAGCAGGAAGGGGCAGTAAGGAGAATGAAGGGACAGCAAGGAGAAAGAAGTGGCAGAAAGAATCAGAAGAAGCACAAAGATAAAGTAGGAGAAGGAACAGAAAGTAGGAGAAGAGTCTACAGGGAACAGAAAGGGTCTACATGGAACAGAAAGGACCAGCAAGGAGCTGGAAGGGTCAGATAGAAGCTTGCTGGGGTAGGAAGGGGCAGCAAGAAGAAGGAATTGGCTGAAAGGAGAAGGAAGGGACAGCAGGAGCACAAAGGTAGAGGATCAGAAAGAATTAGAAGGAGCGCAAAGGTAAAGTAGGAGAAGGAACAGAAAGGGTCTAAAAGGAGCAGAAAGGGCAGCAAGGAGCAGGAAGGGACAGAAGGAGTCAAAAAAGTTAAGGGGCAGAAAGAATCAGGAGCACAAAGGTAAAGTAAGAGAAGGAGCAGAAACGAGAAGCAACAGAAATGAGCAGGAAGGAACATCAAGGAGCAGAAAGGAAAAGGAACAGAAATAAGCAGGAAGGGTCTGCAAGGAGCAGGTAGGGTCTGCGAGTAAAAGGAAGGGTCTGTAAGGAGCAGAAATAGTCAGCAATTAGCAGAAGGGGGCAGGAAGGGACAGAAGGAACACAAATGTAAAAGAGTAGAGAGAATCAGAAGGAGCACAAAGGTAAAGCAGGAGAAGGAGCAGAAAGGGTTCAGAAAGAGAAAGGAGCAGAAGGGTGCAAAATAAGCAGAAAGTAGCAGAAAGGTAAAGGAGCAGAAGGAGCAAAGGAGGAGAGAAGAAAGTGTAAGAAGAAAAAGAAGATTGTGACAAATGAAGGAGAAGAAAATGAGATTGGAGCAAGAAGGACAAGTGAAGGGATCCCTCCACTTCATTCTGGACACTGCATCATAAGGCTTTGGTACCTGGGCCTAGCAGAGAAACTTTGGACCTTCTCATGTCCCCAGGTAAAAAAAAAAAATATCAGTGTTAATGTGTTCACTTTTATTTACTGAGTGTCGGGAAGCACAGAGGGCCACTGGGTAGGGGTGCCGCTGATTGGCTAGAGGGTCAGCTGGCACTCTAAGCCAATCAGTAGCTCCCCATTCATAAAAACGTAAAAAAAAAAATATGAACCAGGAACTAGTGATTGGCTTAGAGCGTCAGCTGACCACTCTATTCAATCAGCGGCACCCATGCCTGGCGTCAATCTGCACTTCCTGACACTCGGTTTCAGAAGCTGAATACCTCTGAGTGACCTGGAGATCTGGAGGAACACTTTGAGGTTAAACCATTTGAGAGCGGTTTCACCCCTTAAAGGAAAGAGAGCACCCAGGGGCCTCCTTGCATCATAGCATTTTCGTTTAGATGAAGTTGTTATGATGACCAGAATGTTCCTTTAACCCCTTAAATCCGGAGGGCGTACTATTACGCCCTGCAGGAGCCGGCTCTAAACGCCGGCGGGCGTAATAGTACGCCCTCACTTTAATGGCCGCCCACGTGGCCGGCGCTATTCGCCCGCTGCAGATCACGGTCGGGGGGGATGCCCGGCCCCCCAGGCAACCCCCCCTGTGGCCGGTGACCGCGATCTGCAGTCACTGATCGCAGTGACAGGCTGTCACTGCGATCAGTTTTTAACGTGTGTCAGCCGATTTCAAATCGGCTGACACACGTGGCCAGCGGCTACCCCGTGCAGATCGCGGTCGGGGGACTTACCTGGCCCCCCAG